ATATAAAAGGAATCAGCATTCCAATGTTGGGTCAGTTATAGTGAGAGTCTATGGAATACTGGGTGACAGTATCAACATTTCACTTTCAAAGTCCAGTCTGGCTTGAGTCTGCATTGTTGTGGTGAGAGCATTCACTTTCTGATGCTGGTTACTGCCAGATCACTGAAGAGGTGAACTTATTTACTTTTAATAATGCCAGAATTTGGTTTTGAGGAGACCTTTGAAGTGGTTTCTATTGGATACCTTTATCTTGTGCCAGAAAAAATTCTGACAGTTGAAAAGAAACTTGAACACACCCTTTTCACTTTTTTATCAAAGCAATATCATAAATCATTAGCTATTGATGAATTTAATACTTCTTATAAAAATTCTCATGATTAATATTCCATAATTAATATATGTTTAACTTCCTTCAAGTATTTAATGGTTTATAAAATAATCATTTACATTCATTATCCCAGTTCAAAGACATTTGGAGCTGTCAATCGAATTGTGAACCGACAGATAATGCACTTTGACACCTACAGTTTGTGAATTCAACCATGCAGTACAAATCCTATAATGGCTTATGTCAACAGGCAGGGTGAAATAGCATGCATCTTTTAACAATGCTGACAGTTGATTTTCTTCAATATTGAAAAGATGGGAGATTTAAATAAATTGACAGCTTGACAGATCTCTTGACATATTGCTTTGACATTTCCAATAAACCTGACAGTTCCTGTGACTTTATCCACTTTGCACTTACCTTTGTGTCTCCTTTAGTAATTCTGAATGGCACTGTATCTCTCCCAAATGACACCTCACTTGTCCCAAAAGACTTCCCAAGACTTTAGTCAAAAAGGGGTATCCTACCTCCCAAAGAACTCGAGTAGGTGTAGACCATCTTTGGAATGTTCTAAAATGCACCAGTCAGTTTTTGGACATCAGCTAGTGAAAATGTATTCTAACTAAAGGCAGGTGCAATTTGCCTGGTCCCCGTAGTTTTAAGTTGCCCACACATACAACATTGGGAATTGAAGAAAATAAGTGTGGATGCTAGTAATGCACAATGAAACACAAAGCACTGGTGATGCACAAGCTGGTCAGTTCACAACTGAAAAAGAGTAAGACAGGCCATTACATTAAATATAGCTTCTTCAAAAACCATGTGCTAAACCAGAGTCTGATCCAAGTCATAAATGTTGTTAAAATCTGAAGCTATTTATGCATTTTTGAATCCTGCTGTGTTTTTAGTAACACTTTTTCCTGTCGTCGTCTCACCAATGCTTTCTTCAGAAAATTCACATTTAGACAACAACTACCTGCCAGCAGGTTCACAGTTCTACGTTAAACTACATTTGACATCGATCTCACATTAGACAGTGTCATGGACTAGACAGAAAAAAGGAAACAATGCAATGTTGACAAATAACATCTTCTTCCCCCAAATGTCAATGATTAATGTTCTTTAAATTAAATATCAAAGGTCCTGAAAGTGAGTGAGACATTCGCCTGGGTGCTCTGAGGAGTGGTACTCACAGTAAAATTGTCACTAAATCCTATTTTTCTCCATTAGTCCTGAGCTCCATACTTCTAACCAGGAATTCTGATCGTTCAGAACAACTCTTTCAGAAATGCAGAGCATTGCTGAAATGAAAAGAGATCTCCCAAAGAGTGGGATAGTTAGGAGAAGTCAAACCACATCCCCTTCTGCAGCAGGCTTTGTGCCATGTTCTGGAATTTAAATATCCAGAAGCACATTCTGACACTGGGACAGTCCCTGTCAAAGGGCATGTATGTAAGCAAAGTGTAGGGTAAGCGTGCCTGTTAGTTACAGGTTAGGATGTCAGCTGGGGTAAGGTATCAGCTAAATATGGTCCTGGCTGGACACGGTGCCATCTACATAGGGTGCCAGGTAGGAAGGTGCTAGGTGGGTAGAATATCAGGTAAATTGGGTGCCAGGTAAAAACAGTGTCAGGTAAAGAGAGTGCCAGGTAAGTGATGGAGCTTAGGGTAGGTCAGGGATGGGGGGATGCTGAAGCCAAAAGACTCAGTGGATGTCGGAGCTGGTGGAGGAAGGAGTTGTCAGGCTCTGTGGCATGTGTTGTTGTTTGGTCCCAGAGCCTTAGGCTGGTAGCAGGGAATGTGGGGGAATGGGATGGGGAGAGTTGATTATCAGAGGTCAGTGCAGTGTAGGAGCTTTTGGGGAGGTGTACTTGTTGGGAGGGTGGGCATTATTGTGAGACATGATGGGGTGAATAGCAAAGGTCTTTTCTCTGGGATTGGGGAGAGAGGGCATCTTTTTAAGGTGAGAGGAGAAAATTTAAAAGGGACCTGAGGGACAACATTTTCATGCAGAGAATGGTTCATATGTGGAATGAACTGGCAAACGAAGTGGTAGATACAGGTACAGTTACAAATTTGAAAAGACATTTGAACATGCGCATCAATGGGAAAGGTTTAGAGAGACATGGGTCAAATGCAGGAAAATGGGGCTATTTTAGTTTGGGAAACCTCGTTGGAATGGCTTGGTTGCACCGAAGGGTCTGTTTCTGTTTCTATATGACTCTGTGACTCTATTTGGGGTCAGCTGATTAATTGCCAGAGTCAGGTTTTCTTTAAAAATGTTTTACTCATTCCTGGGCATCTATTAACAGAGGCCGCACAGTCAGAATTCTCCAACATTGAAAGCTTTTTTCAAAGGGTTCCAGTCACAAAGGAGTTGCTCATCAGAATCTTCAATCTCCCCAGGAATTCCCAAGGAGTCTGCTATGTCTGGGATTCCCTAGGGTCCTGAGGAACAAGCCCAGTCTGTGGTTCTGGAAGGACTCTCCGGTAGTCAAATCCTGGGCTATTATTTCTGTGGCAGCTTATCCTTCAGTTAGCACAAATAAAGCTGCTGGCAGAATCGATGAATAAACAAGCAGACATACTGATCTATTGTAACTGCAGCAGCAGTACCTTTTATAGCCTGTAAATACTGACTGCATATTAATTACTGCCTCCTGTCCAAGAGGCAAAAGAAAACAATCACTCCCACAGCTAAAACAGGCAGCTGCCCATGAGATCAACGCACAAATGGTTTACTCGAGAACACCCAAAAGCTTCTTGATATTCAACTTGATTCATCAGTGATTAAGAAATACTCAAAATCTCATCGGGCCTTCCAAGCGTTAGGTAATTATTGTCTATTCCTGATATTCCTAGCCTCAGTGAATCACATGGCTGGTTTTGGTGCTGTTTCCCTGCCCTCAGATTCCTGTTCCTGCTTTCTATTATTGGACATCTCAATGACCACTTCTCTAATTGCCTGGATGAGATCCTCAAAATGCCTAAGACGAAATAGTTGAACCTGCTCATTAAAGGTATAAAAATAAGTACAACTCCTAATGGCTGTTATCTAAGGCCCCTGACATCCACAAAGTGGCACTGAGACAGTCAGCTATGACATGTGGTGAGTGTGACTGATAGCCAGGGATGTATCATGTGGCACACACACATGCTGACTGAGAGACAGAATGTCTGCATGTGACCTCCTCTTGAACACAGAGGCACTGAACCATCTGAGGTATTGGCTCCACCACTGCTGTCATCAACAGCATGAGTTGACAGGTGTGCTTCTGAGAGGAAGCACTGGATCAGGCACATTTCCCTTCACGAAAGACTTGACTACATCACCCAGCTTCCTCCAGTTACCCAGAACAGATCGGTGAATATTTGCTTCATGAAAGTGGGCAGTGTTTCAGTAACAGCTGAGACTCTAGCACAAATGTTCTTACTCAAGGTTTCCATGCCAAGGCTCTGTCACTAGATCTCCCTGAACATTTCATGCTCAGAGCTTGGTTTATAAAATATTTTACAAGTAATTTGTTTTACAAGTTTATATCTGTTTACTAATATACATTTTAATTTATTAGATTTCAACAAACCGATTTTAAGATATTTTTCTGGAGAAATCATTGCTTTAATTTATGCAAACGAGAATCACTGTTTCTTTCAAAATATTTCCAAGAAAACTATCTCAATACTTCAGCCGAAGTATTTGCTTGTAATGCAGGTCAGAACACAGTTAATTAAAAGACGTTGAAACAAGATATTGAAATAATTTACTGGCAGGCAGAAACTTGTATTTTGTTTTCCCCAAGGCATCAACAAAATCTGTTTAGTTTTATGTAAAATTTGGACCTTATCTTGCAGATTGAAATTTAAAACCATCTCCATTGCCAATGAAGCAAGTTGTAGCAATTAGGTCAAGAGGTGAGTAATTCCTCACCTTCAAATATATTCATAGTGATGATTCAGAGGAACAGGTTGGCAAGGACTCAGTGCAGTCTTTATGGGAAAGACCTCGTCCCTGTGCTTTGTGTAGTAACATTGTAAACGGATCCTTTACAAATGTATAAAGACCTGGGTAACAGTTACTGATTCGTCAAAAATGGGGCTATGCTATAACTGTGTGAGATCTTCATTGCCGTGTTATTAATATTAAAATTTAATTCCTTTCCTAATTTTACTGCTGGAAGTGAGGATACTTTCAACTTTGAACTGAAGAAGAATTTGTTGTTCAATGTCGACCATTTTTACTTGCCAGAAAAAGAGGGTTATCTACTCTCTAACCAGTTGAATTTTACAATGGTTTTGTAAGAAACTTTACAGAGAGTGAAGGAGTTCCTGACAATTTAGGTTAATGTTGACACCTGATGCCAATGCAAGGAAAATGTTTATGAATAGGAAACTAATTTATCAACATCTTCCTCTTGCTACTGGTTAAACATTCCTTCAAAGGTGTATTGTAATCACAAAATCTCAACCTGTCATTCTGCATCGTCCAGTTTGACCATGTATTCTGAATAAAATATTTAATGATCCAATTCTTCAACATCAAAGTGAGCAGTTTATCCAGACATACTGTTTCACTGATACTGACAATGTGCTTGCCCTGTTGCTAAACTACAATATCAGTGTAACACAATACACAAAATAATAAAACTAGAATATTAGCAGAATGTTATTCTTACCACAAGATCCTTTCCTGCCCATTTGCATTCATCTCTTCTGGTGGGTGTTGGAGGCCACACAATCTGAAATATCAGCCAAGAAATAAAAACTGTTTTTAAGCATAATATTGACACTTTTTTAATTTAGTTCAAATGTCATTAGGTCGTTTGTGGTTCAGCAATTGCACTGTTCCTCTGAATCCTAACCAGTTTTCTCGATACTCAGATAACTATCAAAGTGAAACCTGAAAATGCAAAACATCTATTTACTAAGATGCACAATTCAATTTTAACTGTGAAATAGGATCTAAATTAACTGTTAATGCTGATTGGTTAGATTTGGTTCTAACGTACAGCCCATATTCCTTTACAGAGCCTGCGACTAAGGTTCTGGGCTTAAAAACATTTGACCATCATTAACTTCTTCCAACCGAACAGAGATTAATTGAAATAAGGTTATTTTTCTAGTGGTGCTTTGGGGATTCACAAAATGGGGTGAGGGGAGTATACACAAGGATATATAACATAGGAATGTCTACATTGTATATTCTACTTACAAATACTTAACATATTTGGATCAAACTCCTTTCTTATTAAATAAGCATGTGCCAAGCAGATTAAAACAGAGACAAGCTTGTTGTCCAAAAATGACAGCAAATTCTTCTTGTAGTTAAGCAAAGACAAGCTGAAGATGGGAAGTGCACGACGAGGACTAAAATTGGTTGATATTTCTGTTACATTAGAATATTTGATGCTTAGTGAAAGGAAATAATCTGTCATTTTGTAAAAAATTCCTATAGATGGAACGTTGGTCATTTACTTATCCTTTTCTTCATCTTATAAACATGTAATTAACAGCACAAATGGAGGTTAATAAACCATGAGGGGCTCTTGTGCTAATTGAAATACTGCAATTCAGAAGTGCAAAGAATAAATCCTACAACAAATTGATAGCACTTTTTAAATCGTTAATGCGTTACACTTTATATCGTGACATCTGTAAACTATGATAAGTGCTTATTAAGAAAACTTTAATTATTGGAGAACTTGATTTTGAAGCACTAGTTTTGTAGTTACCTCATTCAGTAAACAAATATGAAGTTTATGTTTTTAACATTAAAATCATACAACTTATAAGTGCACAAATATCTCAGATGTATAACATCCCATGACAGATTTTTAATAACTTTAATTTATGACCACTTTCCATAATTTTCTACATAATGCTTTGAAAGATGAATAACAATTGCTCATGAAAAACTCAATAATTCCCAAGATGCTTTCAGTGCAACTAATGTTTCAATTTGGTCAAATAATTTTTTATACTGACACTAGAAGAAATATTTATAACATATTAAATAACAGTGCAGAGAAACAAATTAGTCCATTAGCATTTGTTGAGGGGAAGGGAATAAATACAATGGAATAAATATAACTACATATATTGCTCAATTTAAAATCTTCTTTTCACTATCATTATAAAAACGTAACTGTTTTTGTTAAGATGCCAGATGGAGGAAATTGTTATATGTTTGTAACACAAATATCTCTATGATAAACCCACAGCTCTGTTTTCTTAATCTTTAAACTAGAAATCCAAGTACCAGGACTTCAGAATTGTTAAGTTTATTTTAAATAAAATGAAATATGTATATAGTTTTTTTTCAAATCAGCAACCTCCCTTTATATAAATTACAAGACAGTTTGACAGACAAATTCAATATGCAACCACAGAGATAATTCTTTGATGTTTATTTTGAATTGCTTGGTGTGCCGGGAATGTAAAGTCATCTATGCCAATGGGTGGCCGATTGGGATCAGTTAAGTACCTTTAAGACATAGTTAAGTACAATTTTTTTTTTCTTGTCCTGCTACTGAGTTTGGAATTTACAGATACATGTGTGGGCTGATTGACACTCAGAGCCAAGACCCACTTTGGCTATTTGCATGAAGTTTGTCTTTATCAAGACATGTCAGTGAGGAATGGAACATTTTTTCTTTTTTGTTTTTCTCACAGAGTTAAAAATGTAGCTTTGATTATACCCAGGATAGAGTTCGTTCCACAGTGTTGCAGCAATACGTTCCAAATCCATTCTCACATGACAGTGTTCAATTGCATCAAAGGAAAACTTCCACTCCCTAAGCAAACTATCTGTACATCCATCCAATCTTTTATCGCAATTTCTTTCACTCAATATGATGCAGATTAACCACCTAATCTAGTTCAGTTCCATACAATGGGGAATCTTTCCAGAAGAGGTTGTTTAAACTGAGCTCCAAAGGTTAAGAACGTGAAAATTCTACATTCTTAGAACTTGCTTCGTTTAGCAGTGTAGGAGTTTAAAAACGATTCAATATTGTGTTACATTACTTTAACTATCTTCTTTTGTTCGAGAATACAGCATTGGAATTATTAAACAAGTGCAATTCGCATCACAAAACTATTAAATGCACTCAGATTCCAGAATGTTTATTTGACTATGAGACAGGAGTAGACAATTTTAAGTTTGCAAACATGTGCTCTCTCTCTTCAGTATTCATATACAATTATACAGTGTAAATTCTCACAGGTATCTCTCAGTTAACAGAGAGCAATTGCAAGTTCATAGTCCAACAGTTCCATTGAGTGGAAATGGTGAAAGAGGACCCTTCCTTTGTGTGAAGTCTTGTAGAATTGACTCCATTCAAAAATTGAGATAACAAGGTGTAGAGCTGGATGAACACAGTAGGCCAAGCAGCATCAGAGGAGCAGGAAAGCTGATATTTTGGGCCTAGACCCTTCTTCAGAAATATCTGAAATTTCTGAACAAGAGTCTAGGCCTGAAACGTCAGGTTTCCTGCTCCTCTGATGTTGCTTGGCCTGCTGTGTTCATCCAGCTCTACACCTTGTTATCTCAGATTCTCCAGCATCTGCAGTTCCTACTATCTCCATTCAAAGATTAGAAGCTAACAGGAATGTTTTGATAAGTGTGCATTTTTTTTGGCACTTAACAAATAATAATTGGTGTGCAATGCCAAAGTCATTTGCATTTTGAATGAACAAGGACAGTGACAATCGCTGCTATGGTAGTTGTAGAATTAGAACAACTGCAGATGGAAAGCGCAAAAGCCTGTGTTAAATTGGAAGAATTTCTGGATCTGTTTGGTTTCTCCTGCATCTGCCGAGTAGGAGTGTGGCACAGTCAGGGTCAACAAAGACAGAGGAGCTGTCAGTGGAAGTTGTTAAGATTTCAAGTTCTTGCAAACAGGTAGCTCAGCAATGTCTGCCGTGTGTGTTATAGGTGTGACTGGTCACGCACAACTGACTGTGTTTCACCGGCTGTCTTTCAGAAGGGAATAAGAATGGCTGTGAAGAACTGATGGACAGCAACAAGTACAGACGAACACATTGGCGATGAGAAATTAAATATGAAGGCTTTGGGATCCAGAAAGAGAGAAGAATGTTCAGCACGTGCACTGTTGAAAATTATTTCAACAAAGGTCAGTTGAAGCTAATGTTTTTCACAAATCTCTTTCTACTGCCACTTGTTATCTCAAAACCTCAGAATAAAATATTTAAATGTTGCCACAAAAATGTAGCCACCTTTACTCTTAGCATCAGTTATCAATTAAAGCCACTGAAAATTAGGGCTTGTACTCTACTTTGAAGCCTGAGACGTCTCTACTGACTAAATGAAGTGTTGCGTGTTTTCTAAGTCAAGCATTCATTTCTCAACTGCAAAGCTGTGGATTACTCTCCTATCATTGTATATCTTTCAAATCCACCTGCCCAGCTGAGATGTGTTTTCTCAGTTTACACTGGAGCCAGTCTGGGCTGAACTGTCTCTCAGAAGCAATAAGTGTTTCATTTCAGGATCTTTAACAACCTGCTGCAGCTTGTTTCTGTTAAAGAATTTCCTGAAATCAAAATATGCCACTTCAATAAAAGAAAAGTCTGTTGGATGTTTGTAAAAACTTACTTTTTTGAACATTATTATTAAGCACAAATACAGGAAGCTTTATCTAACCCTGTGAAAGGAATATACCAAATAGAAACAGTCATGAATCAATTGACCTTTTCAGACTGTTTCATTATGCAGCAAAATTATGTCTGACCTCTTACTTCTTACTCAATCCCTTTATAGAGCCATAGAGTCAGTGTGGTACAGCACAGAAACAGATGCTTCAGCCCAACTTGTCCATGCTGACCAGATATTTCAAATTAATCTAGTCTCATTTGACAGCATTTGGCCCAAATCCATCTGAACCCTTCCTATCCATGTACCCATCCAGATGCCTTTTAAATGTTATAGTTGTACCAGCCTCCATCACTTTCTCTGGCAGCTCATTCCACATGTCTTCATTGTGACAATATCCAAAAATCTACTGATCTCTGTCTTGAATATACTCCACGGTTGAACAATCATAGGCCTTTAGACAGAGAATTCTGAAATTTTACTGACCTTCAGTGAAGAAATGTATTCTCATCTCAGTCCTAAATAACTAGCTCCTTATTCAAAAGTTATGACCTTCAGTTGTGGACTCCCGAGCCAAGGAGAAACATCCCCCCAGCATCTACAATATCAAACCCCTTAAGAATCTTTTGTATTTCAATGGATTACATCTCATTCTTCCCAACTCAAGGGAACATGGATCCGTTCATACTCCAACTCTCTTCAGAGGATAATCCTCATCCTAGAATAAAGTCTCACAACCTTACATCAGACTCTCTCTCTCTCAGGAAATTGTTTCCTTCTTTTGCAAAGGAAACCAACACTGTAACACAATCCTTCAGGCAGGATCTCATCTCAGACTATTGTCATCCTTTTTTTTTAAACTCTTACTCTCCAAACGCCTTGTAATAAAAGCTAAAATGCCATTTGCTTCTCAAATTCTTGCTGTACCTTCTCAGTTTCTTGGGATTTGAAAATTAGTCTGTTTTTTTCTATTCTTGCTAACAAAGTAGATAACTTCTTATTTCATCACATTATAACCCATCTTTCATGTTCTTGCTCATTCATTTCGATTTCTAAATCTTTTTAGCAGCCTCTTTAAATCCTCCTGATACTGTATCCTCACATTTCACTCTGCATCGTCTTTGGAAC